GATTTGAAGGAATAGGGGAGGCTCAGTCTTCACCAGAGTCTGAAAGCATATAACAAACACTGCTGTTCTATAAAGTAGCTTAATCTTATTTTGAATATAAAGTTCATAAGCAATATTCAAACACTGATTACCAAAAAAAAAAAAAAACAGCAACAAATCCATTATCTTTAGTTTTTGTAGTTTTCTAAAATGTCCTCTGGGAAGAAGGAAGGCAACCCATAAGATTGTAATTTAGTTTTAAAACTGGAATTCACTGGAGCAAACCTGGCTTATTTGGTATTTCTATTATTCTCAACTTCCTATTGATTTTATTTTTATTAGATTTTAATCAAGGATTCGACTGTGAAATGTTTTGTACCCAAAGGTAACTTGAGACATCAAATTTTTATAGCAATAGAGAGAGGACAGAGGAAGCACAGAATACCAGGGAAAAGTAGAAATTATAAAGCAATCAAATAAAATCAGAAATAAGAAAGAGTTTGAATGGAGCAATTCCTGAGGACCAGAAAATCTCATAATCCAAGCACAGAGAAGGGACTGACAACTGGCAAACAGAGGGACTTGGATTAGGGTAAGGGTCTGACCTTCCAGTGTAATCCCTGACTCAGGTTAGCAGGATGCATAATAGTATTCTACTGGCTTCAGCTGTCAAAGGTTTGATTTCACTCATTTGTAAAAATATTAGAAGACATAGTATTTTTAAATATCGTCACCTCATTACCAAAAAGTTGCTCAGGGAAATCACTGGTCAGTATTGTTGAAAACAGTGTATTTATTATTTGGGAGTCAATGCTACTGCAGTGTTTATTGAATCTTCTTGAAGATCATTGAATCTTCTTGAAGAAGAACCCATCATTGCTAATAATCAAAGTAATTTACGTATCTTTCTACAGATAATTTATACTATTATCTAGTGGATAGAAAGTCAAAGTTATAGTACTTACTTAATTGTATGAATACATTCTAAGAAATAAGCTAACTTGAAAATTTTTTAAAGAGTTTTTATTTATTTTTTAATTATTTATTTATGGATATAAGAACTACGAGTCAAATCAAAGGTACTGTGGATGAGAGGGTTCACCAGAGACAGGATGGGGAACAGAACAGGCGGACTGACTGAAATATACTGCTGAGGAGCGACAGGAGACGGCTGCCATGCCACGCCATGTGTGTCAGCTACTTGGCCAAGGATCAAACTACTGCTGTAGTGGCTGATGATAGATAGCTTCATAGTGCTGCCCTTTAATACCTTGTGCCACCAGGGAGGTCCAAGAGTTTTATTCCTAATAAAACTGTATTTCATTTTTCTTTACAAATATGATATTTTATATATTTTTTTCTGGTTCTTGATAGAAATCAGTTTGTTTTTCTTATTTCCAAAAAGAAAATTAGCAAAATAAAATTGAATGCATTTTGGTCAATTTTCTGTTATTTTATGATAAACAAGGCTTGTTAGATTGAAATATATATATATATATGTATATATATATATATATATGCCCTTCTAAATAATGTGCACTATTATATAAATTGATGGGTATTGCACAACTGACTTCTGAAATCTATCAAGAGTTTTTCTTAAAATAATGGGTAATACATACTAGTACTGTATACTTGGGATGATTAAATTAATGGTAGAAAGAATATACAAGTATCAGGAGTAAAATGGATGGAAAATAGTAACATTTAAGCTAATAAAATAAAATCTTAAAGAACTAAGCTATTTACAGAGGAAAATCATTCTAGTATTGAAAGTGTAAAGATTATTTTTGGAAGTGATTTTGATTTCTATGTAAAGAAATACTTCAATTTGGAAATAGAACATTAATTTATTAACTAGCATGTATATGAAAAGAAACCTATTAAACTAATAGAAAAATATAAACTATGCTACTGATTTTTAAATGAAATCTGCTGTCATTGCTATACATTTTTAGTATGAGAAAAACACTGCTAAGTAGGTTTTATTTTGCTTAGGGGAAATTTATTTTGCTTCATAGGAAATTTTTAAAGCTAGGTATTAAAAACATAGCATTTCATACATAAAATCTGACGTGATAAAAGCTTCAATATGGCTGTCATCATCTTTCATCAGTACAGACATTACTCTTTATGTATATGCATTGGATTAATTTGGTAATGCATCTATGATGCCTTTCAAATAAATTAACAGAATATTTTCACCGAGACAATGGTTGTTTCTTCGAGCATTTAAAAATTATTTCTAGGAAATAACATATACATATATAATGTAGTAAATATATGGTATAAAGCATTGGTTACAGAAAAGCACTGTAGCACTAGCAATAGACATATATGCAATTTTGATGTTGTCCCCATGATTAGCATACATGGACTCAGAATTTGACTAGAATTTGATTTCTAATTTTGGCAATGAATTGGAATTTTTATTTCAGCAAGTACTCCATTTGTAGAAAAGCCACAGATTTGGCCAGTATCTAGACCTCCAACTTGCTGCTTTGCTACATTTGATACATTTCCCATAGTTCAAATAAAATGAAAAGTACTTGAGAGCTTGACATTTAAATAGACTAATGTGGAAATGAAGCTAGCACCATTATATTAGTAAGAACTTCATAAATGTTGGTCTCTTCCTCTCAATCTAGATGGGTTTATAGAGATACACATAAGCATAGATAAAAGGAAGGAATAAGGAAGGCTAGGAGGGAGGGAGGAAAGATAGTAACTGATAAGGGAAAGAGATTGTGTGATAGGACATAAGTGAAGGTAGATAAGGGCAGAGACAGGAGACTTAGAGGAGAGAAAGAGAGATCTACTAGTTACACAGTTTCTCTACTGGCTATATGGAAACATTTATTTTTGGATATTCCTAAAGAAATCAACTTTCTTTACATATTGAAAGTGCTCAATAGATTGTTATTAAATGAATAAATGAGTGAAATACTATTTTAGCTAATTTTTCAAAATAAGTTTTGAAAGTGAAAACTACTATGGCTTTCAGATTTATGTGTTTCCATATTTGTTAATAAGGATATGTTGAAACTGCTTGTTTTACAGGACACACGTTTATACTAACGATCTCAGCCTTAGATTAGCAATTATTTCATATGTAATATTAATTGGAATATATGTCAAATATGTATTCTTTAAAAACAGCTACCTTTACAAGATACTGTTTTACCAAATTGAAGAATAGTTTTTCAGTACAAATGGCAATTTCAGACATAAAGGAAACCTTCTTCTGCTTAAGTATTCTTTGTTCACTTTCCATCAATCTATGATTCAATTAGTGAACAGAAAGAAATTAATATTAATGTGATCATCAGGTTCTTATTCCTTTATTGGCAAAACTTCCCTTAAAGATATCAACATAAGTGCAGTCTTTACTTACTCTATGTAACCTCGTAAATGGTAGTCAATGAATTATCTCTAAATTAATTTATTTACTACACAAATGGATCTATCTTATGCTATGTATTCATTCACATATCAACATCCAACAACCCATTATTTAAAATGTGTTATAAGATTCATATAATAACATATAGTTATAACCTGTCAAGGCAATATAAATCACTTAGGTAAAGATTCAAATCTGCAGAAGTTATGAATCATAAATAAGTATTCAAATAACTTTTCTTAGTAGTATAAAAAAACTATTACACAGCAATTCACTGTGTAGAAGGTAAAGGTCAGGAAAATAAGCTATCAGTCACTTAATCACTTAGAAAAAAAGAAAAAAGGATATTGGACAAGTTAACCTTAACATAAAGCCAGTGTAATTGTGTTCAGTGAAGAGATATATACATGATACATATTATACTAAATAAGTATTATGCTGAATACATTTTTATTTCTATATTGAATGTATATATGTGAACATGTATGTTTGTAATTTCAGCATGATTAGGAAAATAAAAATAAATATTATATCTGCTGCTCTTATATATATGTGTGTGAGTATATATATATATATGTGTGTGTGTGAGTATATATGTGTGTGTGTGTGTGTGTGAGTATATATATATATATATATATATATATATATATATGCATAAAATAGGACAGGAAGAACTACTAGCAAAAAACGTACTTTCTATGAATCACCAATCAATACATGACTTTAAAACCGTAGCTTATTTTCTCATTTAAAAAGCATAAATAATAAATATTAAATCTATTTTAAAACTTAATATTTGGAAACTAACATCATGTTCATATAATATGCATTTGTAAGTCTGAAATCTGATTTATATAACAGTTCTCTTTTTTTAATAGATATAAAAGCATGCATTCACAGCCTCTGAGTCCTATACATAAAAGCAGCTTAATTTTCTTTAGATGAGTCATCATTAACTTTTCCATGTATTTGAAGGAATAAAAACATGAAAATTAATAAAATGACATAAAGTTGCAGATAGACTTTTAGAAGTATGTATGTATTTATTAAAGTGATTTTCTATAAATGATAAATAAGTTCAAGCTTATTTGGTAGCTACAAAAACTGAGAAGAAAATCAAAGCCCAAACTCCAGTTTATCTGACTCTTGAAAAATTACTGTGATGTTAAAATCCATGCTACAACAACATTGCTTAGAGCTATAAAATTCCTATCAAGTTTCATCTCACCTAAGTGTGTTAAATTTACTATTTCTAATCCTGTAAATTAGTATATTAAAATGTGCATATCTAACTAATATATGCCATATTTTCCTTGTTAATAAAACACAAGATAGGAACGGTTTGGAGATGTCAACAGCAATAAAAACAATCAAATAACTTTGGTCAAGTTCTCCGATTAAGAAAATTAAAGTCTAATACCCATGATCTTCCTCTTTTTTTGTTGTTATGGAAGTATCGAACAGTGGCTTTTAGTCTGGGACTAGCTCAGATTTCCTGTTTCTTTTGATATATTATCAATGGTCCATTCCACCGTGATAAACGGCAACTCTAGTACTAATAGGTTTATAATGATTGCTTAAGCTTTACACTTTGTAAGCATTGGAAGGCTTCACTCACCTTGTTCAAGTGGTTGGCTTTTAGTTGAAGTAGTTTTCATCTTGAGTGCCTCCCTAACAGACATGTCACAGCAGGAGCCTTTGTTAGTGTCTTGGTCACTGTCAGCCTGATCACTGTCCCCGTGCCCACTGTCTCTCAGGCTGGCTCTTTCTGGGTCCTTAAACGTGGAGCTACTGAAATACATATAAAGAAAAAGAAGAGAAAGTGTTGTCTCTACCAGTTTGAATCTGAAGTGTAGTCTCTTGCAAAGCAATTTTGACACGAATGCAAATGGGGAAGCTGAGAAAGTTATTTAATAGGCCTTACCTTTGAACAAACTGCTGCCTGCTGCCCATGTAATTGGGCTCTGCGGGAAAATTGTCTGTCTGCGAAAGAGAAGGAAAAAAATACGTATAGTTGTACACTGGACAAATCTCCTGCAGAGCAACAAGATTTCCTAGTGGAAAAATGATTAATAATTCAAAAATTCCCTTAATCTTCAGATTTGTACATTTTAATTAAATTGGAAATTGCTGACATGTAATTATGTACTCAGAACAATTAAATGATTCCGGTCCACAAATTACCTGTTAAAGTAAACAATGAGCCTGTCATAACTGGCATTCTCTGTTAGTCCTACGATGGATGACACTGTGTTGTTTCATTACTTAGATATTAAGATTGAATATTTGTGGGAGGAGTGGAAAAAATGACCTAATTTCTTCTTATTAAATGTGTGAATTATTTAATAATACTCATTTTTAAACATAATTACATAATCTTCTGGGATTCTGTGCTCTCCTTGATGTAATATCATTCAAAGTCATCCTTTCCTCGATAAAGAGAATTCCTTCAAATTTTGCCAATAACAAATATAAATAAAGAACATATGGTTGAACCCATGTCTATAACTCACTCTCAACTATATCCCTAGTAAGGAAATTGTATTCAAACATTACAGTGGAGGGGATGTTACTTTCTAGTTATTAAAAACTAAGTACAACAAAAATAAATAAAATGTTACTTAAAACATTGAGCGTAAAGACATTGAGGAACCAGGCTTGTTTTTGTGGTTGTTTTTACTGCTTCCAAACTGACCTGGAGGTCTGCCAAAAAGAACTGAATTCTCCTTGTATCATGAACAGAGTCTTTTGGGAGAAAGAGACTAGATCTTTCATAGATCTCCCTATACTGTACATTCACACACGTTAGTTCTTCTTGCAGCTGACTCAGCAACAAAGGTTCTCCTGTTTTCTGAATCACTTCATATCACCCCATTGTGCTCTGAAGCAGCTATGGGGTCCTACAAGACCATCCAGCATGCAAGTGCCAGTGACAGGGGAGCATGCGATTCAGGAAGCGGAGGGCCCAAGGTAAGGATTGATATGGTGCATGAATAAGGTATATTTAAATTAACAGAACTCTTTTCCCCATATCATTTGTTTTTTTTTTTTTTTTTAACTGCTACTGGGAAAATAAGGCATGATAAAAGTAGCAGCCTAAGCATTGAGATTCATCAGTATGTTAGAAGTTGAGGGCCAGGAAATCTATAACTTTTTTGTTGGCATTCAAATGACCTTTATAAAATTAAATGCAAAGCTGAAGTTAAGCCAAATAAGTTCGTTTCTCCTCCTAATTCTCATTAGCTAGTAGTCGGTAGCAGTCATTTTTCATTAACATGTTTTATTAGTTTCTAGATCTTCTAGAAGCGCCTTAATTTTTTATTCTATGATGCTAAACTATCCATCTAAAAAATATAACTTAATCTTGTTAAAAAGCATAGTGGGAAAAACTGTCTGCAAAAGAATTTGAAATATGTTAAAACTACAATCATGAGCAAGCTCCAAATTTTAACTTAATAAAATCTAATTCACATTTGAACTGTTTTTAAAAAATGTATCAGTCCTTAATTGTTATCAGTTAGCAGCTAACCATGTAGCTTAGTTTACTTCAATTATCATAGAATACTTCAGAAAAAAACAGAATCCTGAGTATTAAGGTGAAAGTAAGCTATGAAATGAAAGTAGAAACTCCTCAAAAAAAAATATAAGTCGTCCTGTAATTTTAAAGGGCTTAAAATTAGGATATGAATCCCTGTTCAGTTGAACATAGAGAGACAGATTGGGATACACTTTTCCCCTTGGAAAGGCACAGTATCCAAAACTGCATGTTTTAAAAGTTTTAAGCAGTTAAGCTAAAAAAAGAAGCAAAGCCACATTTTTCCTTTAAGTAAGGAGCTATGTTTTAATTATATGTGTGTACATATTTTGCACATAGATGTGTGTATATATGTATGTCTCTGTTTGATGAACACTGAACAAAGGTATTGCTACAAAACATCAGACTAATGGGGTGAAATTTATATGGAAGGATAGATTAGACTTTTAGAGGTGAACATATCGTAGCACATATAGATGCTAATTTACAATGATATACATCTGAACATGTTGCAAACCAAAGCTGTTTCAATAAAAACTTAAGAAAAAAAAATACAAAAACAAAAGGAAATTAGAAAAAAAATTGGGGATAGAAAAAAAAGAGAGAAGAAATGTAAAAACAGGGAGAAAGGAAAGAGAAGAAAGAAAAGAAGCAGTGAGAAATAAAACCTATGAAAGAGGAGAAATGAGGGTGGAGGGAGGTTAAAAAAACATGTTAAAAAAAGAAAGCAAAATTGTTTTATTATTGTAGAATTCACAAAGTACAATTTTACAGTTATGCAACTTAATAACAGAATATTGGGAGTTTATTAATAATATCTGCAATGTCTGTATTCATCCATTAAAATAGGTAAGAATGGGAGAGATTGTGTGTGTGCTGGTAATTACCACAATGAAAGAGCTATTTGGCCTTTAACAAACATATAACTAATTCACTGCAAAAACCACACTGGTTTTAATATAGAAAATAACATTTTCATTATCTAGGCTCCAAGGGTGTCTGAAAACTCATTTAAAGTCATCTAAATGTAATAGTATTTGCATAGTAAAATGAAAAAAAATAAAGAAAAAAGACTATGTATCACAGCATCATTCAATTTAGAAGAATTTCAGATATTCTATAACACTGTACCCTAAAAAAAAAATACACACTTTGCAAAATATGTTTTATATTTATAAATCTTTTAAATTTCAGAAGAAAATGAAACTGGAGGTCAGACACTTGTAACATTTCAGTGTCAGCAAATAATTAAATATGAATATTTGTAACTCAAAAACCTTATCTTCTCTCATACAAACTAGTAACTAGAAAGTTTTCCATTTAAATTCAACTTGAACACAGTGGTTTTATCTATTATTTTTAAAACATATAATGTATAGTTTTTAAAAGTATTTTAAGAAAACAAGTACAGAATTTGTATGTGGACATTATAAAACTGATGAAATAGATCATGAGAACAAAATAAGTGAAGAGCTATATCATGCTTGTGGATCACAAGATCTAAAATGATAACATCATTGCTGCTCAGATAACCTATACATTTAATATAATCTCATTCAAATTCCCAGCAAAAATTGTGTAGATATTCACAAGGTAATTTTAAAATTTAAATGGAAAAGCAAAAGAAATGGAACCTGCAAAGTAATTTTGAAAGGCAAAATAAAATGGAAGGAATTATCCTACCCTGTTTTAAGAACTGCTATGAAGTTCCCCTAATTGGCACAATGTAGTATTGCCCATGGAAAAGACAAAAATCTATGGAACAGAGAGAAATACAAGGCCACACAAGTAAGGTCAACTTATTTTTAGCAAAGTTGCCAAAGCCAAGTCAATAAAATTAACCTCAAATAATGCCTCTTATTTGTTTTTTAAACAAACTCAAAAACTCTCAAAATAGAACACAGATCTAGATGTAAAACATAAGGCTAAAATTTTAGAATAAAACCTAATGATCCATGTCAGGGGGATCCTGGTGACAGGACACTCAAGCCACCAATTGTTCATTTAAAAAAAAAAAAAAAAAACTATGTTCACAGAAAACATTGTTTACAGGAAATCTTTGTTAAAATTGAAATCAGCCCAGACATCTTTCAACAGGTGAATAACAGACTGTGGTACATATACACAATGGAAAACAATTTAACATTTATAAATGAGCTATTGATGAACTGGATGAATCTCAAAAACATTATGTTAAGTGAAAGAAGCCTGTCTCACAAACTTGCATACTGCATGAGATCATTTATAAGACTTTTCAAGCAGGCAAAAAATATAATAGTTTGTTTTGCCATGATATTGTATCATAACAGACAGATCAGTAATTTCCAGGAGTATAGCCAGCTATGGAGCTATAACATGAACAAGCCTTTTACAGCAATGGGACTGTTTATTGTCATTGTTGTGGTAGTATGTATAAAATGCAACACTCAAGAAAAGGTCATTTTACCATATCCTACTAGGAATTCCAAAAACATATTTAAGGTAATCATCTAATTCTCATGTACAGTGGGAATTCCTCTCCCTCATGTAGAAGTTTCTATAAAAAGTATTTCTTTCTATAAAAAGATCTTTAACTTTTAAATTCATATAATGATCCAACTTGTAAAACCTATGTAAAAATCCCATATTCACTTGGACAGACTACAAATGGATTTGGGTTACAAAGATCTATTTAGCCACACTAGCAAATCCAAACAGCAGCTTTATAACACAGTCACCTTAAACATGAATTATTTAGCTCAATATTCATTTCTCTCAAAGATGTTTTCCTTGTGTGCAGTTCCAATTTACACAGCCATAAAATAAATACTTAAAAGGATTTCAGGCTGTACTTATTGCAAAGTTTTTATTTCAATAGAGGAATCAAACATGGCTAAGTCATGAAGAACTGGACTCATTCTCAGAAATGGTAAGTTTTAAATTTAGTAAATACCTTGCAAACATTTTGAAGGAAGTAAACAGAAAATCTTTTTAAAGACATTCAATGAGATTACAACTTAAAATGAAGCAAAATGCTTGAAAAATATAAAAATAAATTTATAACTTTGGTAGTAGGATACTATCTAAAATGTGGTTTTATATGAGATAGTATATGAAAATTTCTTGAGCATATAATACAATTCCTATTATAATTGTTTCAATTTGTATAAAATCCTAGCTGCAGCACTGTAATGACCATAAAATAATAACTGGATGAAAATCTGGCAATATTTAGATTCTAGAAAATAAAACAACTGTGGATGAGAAAAATAATGACCTCATCATTTTGAGTCTCATTGCAAATGAATTTCTAAGAAATAATATCAGAACTATCCTCCAAATGTATCCCTGCAAAAGGAAAAGAGAAAAATAAAGTGAGCTTTTGGAAATTGGATATGGTTAGTCTTCAGCATGACAGATACTAGTTAAGCTATAATTCAATCTGTGATTATTATAATCACTGTCTGAT